ACTATAAGCGTATATATATATATATATATATATATATATATGTATATTTATGTATATGTATATGTATAATGGAGATGGCGAGTGCTTAAGCTGATGTTGCCACCACTTGACATGGTCGTGCAGCTGCAATGGGCAACAGCAGAGGAGTGTAGAGGCAAGGCGCGGCAAGGTGAGGCGAGGAGGTGGTGCGGTTTATCAATGGCAACGCTTTGAACTAGTTTTAGGGCGCGAAAGCATGAGCCTAGAGCTCAAGAAGAAGTGGAGGCAACACAACCAAGTGGGAAAAACCAGTTTTTGATCGTTTTTTTGTTGTTTTTTTGGTTCAACGACTGCCAAAGTGAACCCTTTCAACTGTTGCTGCTGCTGCTTCTTCTTCTTCTTCTTCTTCAAGTTTATGCTTTGGCAATGCAAATACAAATATTGGCAACAGCTGCCCGCAGGCCAGTGGCTGCCCGCATTTATTATACACAAGCATGGCTCAAGGGCTTGCAACACAATAAAAAGTTGCGTTTTATAGCAACAGCGGGCAGTTTGGCAACATGTTGCTAGCAACATTGTTGCAGCGCACGCAAATATCGTGCGTATTTGCTATGGCACTTTCCATTTTCATCGACTAGCTGCTAGTTGCGACTGCTCTAATGGCTTAATACAGCAAGCAGCGACTACAAATTGAAACTTGGCCACAATTGCTTTTGGCCAATTTTACGCAATTCGCCGCACAGTCAACAATAAATTTGCAAATTGCAAAAATGTGGCGCGCAAATGAAAAGAAATGCAGGTCGCCAACAGCACAACTGCCAACTGACCGCACAATAAATTCAACAGACTCCAGCTCCAACTCCTGGGTAGCCAGCTGCAGCCTCCTCTCATTTTCCTGGCTGCAGCAACAAATTTGTTGTTTAGGCACAGTTTTGGCATTCGCTTCGCTTTTCATTTGTATTTTCAGTGCAGTGCCAGGCGAAGCCAGATGAAGCCAGGTTCCCAGTTGCCGTGTCTGCTGAATTTCGAGTCCCAGCTCTTAGTTCCCCAGCCCGTTTGTTTGGCTTGTAATTTGAGTTTGAATGCGGCTGATTTGACAGCAGCCAACACTTTTGTCTGCCCGCCGCTGGCATCTGTCTCCAGCTGTGACTGCGACTGCGCCTGCGACTGTGACTGTGACTGCACGTGCAGTGGTTCCCCTTTTTGGCTATCCCACGCCAATCCAATGCAACGCCACGCATTCTTTGCAGCCTTCTCCCACTCGCCTCTTCTCTCGGGTACAGCGTTTTGCGCTTTAAAATGCAAATGTCGACGCTCCATAAAACAATGGGGCAAAACTACATTTTAGCTGGTTTACTGACTGCCAGAGTCGAAAAATCTGCGCAATTAATTTGCGGGGCAAACCGCAACAGCCACTCGCACCACCTTCCACAATATATTGACACATCAGCAACTGCGCGCATAGTCAGCGAACTAGAAATGAAATTGCAATCGCTAAAGCGGATGCGGCTGCGGATGCGGATGCTGAAACAAAAAGAATGAATTCGCCTGGTTAAATCATCCGGGCCAGCAAAAAAAAAAACAACAAAAGGGCGGCCACATTGTTTTGATAAAACGCCCGCATGGGCACACACACACACAAATACTCACAGGCTATATATATATATATATATATATCCCAGTTGGTTACGCCCATCAGCCAAACGCTTGGCCAGGAGGAAGTCAATGCTACAGTTACATATGCGCAGACAATGCACAGTTATCCTTTGATAGATACAACAACAACAACAACTACAACAATTGGCATAAAATGGTGCGTGCTGTGGTTGATATAAGGCGAGCATTTGATTCCCCTACAATACAATTCGTGGATACTTTAGGGACTTCAGGCATTTGACTTTGCATTGAGAGATATTTTTGTGATTTTCGTATTGACATCTTATAAATTAAGCTTTCAAAATATTTTGATTGCATGAAGAATATCCTTGTATATTTATGTGTCAGCTTAAGCTGTATCGCTCACATAAGTCTGCATTTAAAAGTTATTAGTCATCTGTTGTATAGAGTTTGATATTTTACAATACTATAATAAAAATAAATAAAATAAAAAATTCCATTCAATATAAGAAAATATTAATTGAATGATTCCTGATATATATTTAAGTAAAGAAATACTTCATAAGATAAACCAAGATCTTGAATAGAAAGACTTGAGACGTGTTCGTTCATTTTTATAATATATATTATATTAATATTGTGCTTAATATTTGATTTTTTTTGATTTTTTAAAATGCATTCAAATCGTAGATTTATATTATATATAATATAATCTTATATATAATTCTCTAGAAGTATCGTCATATACAGCTTATAGCTTATAAACTGAATATATTGAAAGCAAGCATAGCTACAAATGAAGCTTGATCAATGTGCCTTACTGCAGCGATCATTGTAAGCTCTTAAAAGCTCACCAATACTGCTACTATGTCCACACACACATACAAATATATACAGACAGCCAGAAGTCCCTCGACAGTTGCTTGCAGCGCATTTTTTGGGGGCGCAGCTAGGATAACAATGTCAGCAGTACAACAAAATGACAAACAGCGACAGCGACAGCCCAAGGGCCCGGAAAGCAGACAACAGCAAAACATACAAATACATATATGTATATAAGTTAACACATAACATTTAATATAGGGTATTTCATAAGTTTATAATCAACCCTCGCTATCGCGTGTTTCGTAAGTTAAGAAACAGCCCTCGCAATTGCGACACTGCATACTTTGTATCAGCGCGCTATAACTGCAATGGTCAGCGGCGGTAACCAGATACTTTTGTTTACTGCAAGAGTTTCCGTTATTGCCTAAGATTGCTGAGTCGGCTTGCCGACCATGACATTGTGGTGTGATGCGAGTTTTGGCTTAGCTTAAGTGAAATATTCTATGTAGCTAAAAATCAGTTTTGCATTGAAGTTTGAAGAATAAACCCGCACTACTCCGGCACACCGCCGTAATCAAATTGTTATATTTCTGATCATTGCTGAGCCACAAGGCCAGTTAATAGAAAAGGGGGTGAAGTCAAACCCTCCAACATAATCATCATAAGAAGATTATAATTACCCGACCAACGCTGGACCTGCCACCGACGCCTAGCTCATCGCTGGACCAGCAACTTATTGATTAAGACTATAAATACCCGATCAACGCTGGACCTGCCACCGACGCCTAGTTCATCGCTGGACCAGCAACATATTAATTGGCGCCCAACGTAAAAAAAAAAAAAAAAAAAAAAAAAAAAAAAAAAAAAAAAAAAAAAAAAAAAAAAATTTTTTTTTTTGGAATTTAAATCATAATTTCATATTGCGATTGCCTGACAACGTCATAGCCGAATGCGATGGAAAAACCCACACACTGCAGAGTTGCACCGCTTCACCTGGAGCCACCTTTTGTCGTCTGGCATTAGAGAGTTCATGTGCCAAAGAGCTCCATGCAGGTGGCACGGCACACTGTGAAATCCAGCCGAGCAACCTGGAAATAATCACCCACGTAGATGATGGAATCATCATTCTTAACGACGGGTTCGCAAGGATCCAGGTGGATAACGGCACTGAAATCCAAGTACACGGCACGCATCTCATTACGTTCGGGGACCGAGTCGCGATCAACGGGACTCTGTTTTACAACCACAACAACGTACGCAATAGAGTCCCGGGCATTGCCAACTCTCCCTTGCTGAACATCACTGCCAGCCAAGATGTCCTCAGCCTCCCTTATCTTCATCGTTTAAATGAACGTAATTTGGAGGAGATACAGCAATTCAAGAAAGACGCCGGAACTGATCAAGCTTATCGTGTGGCATTCATCATTGGAGCTATATGCTGTGCTTTAATCTACATTGGCCTCACCCTTTGGCGGTTCATCGACGCAAGGAAGTCTGCGAAGCAATTACGAGAAGTCGTCGCCGGAATTGGGTCGGCCGAGGGCGGCCTTACACTTGAAGGGGGAGTAGTTAACACATAACATTTAATATAGGGTATTTCATAAGTTTATAATCAACCCTCGCTATCGCGTGTTTCGTAAGTTAAGAAACAGCCCTCGCAATTGCGACACTGCATACTTTGTATCAGCGCGCTATAACTGCAATGGTCAGCGGCGGTAACCAGATACTTTTGTTTACTGCAAGAGTTTCCGTTATTGCCTAAGATTGCTGAGTCGGCTTGCCGACCATGACATTGTGGTGTGATGCGAGTTTTGGCTTAGCTTAAGTGAAATATTCTATGTAGCTAAAAATCAGTTTTGCATTGAAGTTTGAAGAATAAACCCGCACTACTCCGGCACACCGCCGTAATCAAATTGTTATATTTCTGATCATTGCTGAGCCACAAGGCCAGTTAATAGAAAAGGGGGTGAAGTCAAACCCTCCAACATAATCATCATAAGAAGATTATAATTACCCGACCAACGCTGGACCTGCCACCGACGCCTAGCTCATCGCTGGACCAGCAACTTATTGATTAAGACTATAAATACCCGATCAACGCTGGACCTGCCACCGACGCCTAGTTCATCGCTGGACCAGCAACATATTAATTTATATATATATATAATGAAAAAAAAGGAAGAGCCGTCGATTTGTTTGTGTAAGCGCTGTGAAGCGTATTTGTACTTTCATTTTGATGCGCAGTTACAGTAAAAAAACGAAGCCTTTTTATGGCATTGCACAAACTAAAATTGACAGCTTGTATAAATTGAAAAAATATATTTATTAAATTATATATATGCTACATGAATTACAAAGGAAATCACATTATTTTGCGGTTTCGTAATTCGTTGAAAATATGATTTGGCTTTGCCTGTTCAATTATAAATATATTTACCACAATTTCCCAGCGGAAAGCACAACCTTTAACCCGCCATGTAATGTGATGTGAAAATATTTTAATTGAGTTTGAATTTCGCCACGCCACAAAAATGCCAATAACTAAAGATTGATGCCCTCTCCCTCTCTGTTCTTTGCAGGCCCATAAGTCGCACTCCACTGACGCAGATCTCGTATCTGCAGAAGATACCTACGTTGCCGCGCCACTTCTCGCCCAGCCAGGCAGCAGGGCCTTTGAGCACACTTGTTGGGCTGCCCAGCAGCTCATCGGCGAGCGCTTTGTATGCGGCACAGAATGCGGGCATGTTGCCCACATCGCCGGTGCCGTTGCAGCGGCATCAGCAATACCTGCCGCCGCATCACCAACAGCTGCCGATGTTGCCTCCAACGGTTGCCCAGGCCAAGTACACGAATGCACACCAGCAACAGCAGCAGCAGCAGCAGCCACATCATCAGCATCATCAGCTGTCGCCGGCGCTGTCGACGCCATCGCCGCCTTCACTGCTGCATCATCCGGCGGTGAACTCGAGCTCCTCTTCCTCGTCGGCAGCAGCAGCAGCGGCGGCAGCGCATGCGCCCTTCCTAGCCGGTCCGCACATGCAGGACATGCAACGGCAATCGCACTCGGACGATGACAGCGGCTGTGCGCTGGAGGAGTATACCTGGGTGCCGCCCGGCCTGCGACCGGATCAGGTGAGTTGGCAGTGCCTAGATCAGTGATTTGTGTGCGCAGATAAGCTGCGTGACTCGACTGGCCGTAGCTTCACTTGACTTCACTGGACTTGACTTGACTTATTGTGCGTGATTTTGTCACTAAAATAGTGGGGCCAGAGCTGTTCATCAGCAGGCCATAAATCAGTCAGACGACCAGCCGATAGCAAATGCAGCTCGCGTCTCTCATCTCCAGGCGGCAATCGAGCCTGGACTCTGACATCTCTCTAGCAACCCTCAGCGTGTGGGCCAGCTCGAGCTGTCTGCATATTGAAAATTAGATTGCGCTAATGAAACTCCAACTGCTGCGGCCCACTCGTTGCCGCAGCAGCTGTTTCAACTTGTTAGCCATTTCTCAAAGCGACTTTTATGGCCAATTCAATGGCCAAAAGAAGAAAAAAAATTGTATTTCAATGATTTTTTTTCAATTATTTCTTTTTTTTCGGCTGCCTTTAACGCCACATAAATTATTTGCGTAAAATATGCGCCAATGCCAAATAAATCTTGCGCAATCTTTTCCAGCGACCGCGGCGCCCAAAAGCGCACTACTAACCATTTTTTAGGGCCTTATTTTTTGTGATTTTTGCAACCTAGACCAGTGACAGATAGCGCAGGCTGCAGCTGGCCCTCGAACTGGGCACTGGGTCTAGACCCTGCCCAAGAGACTTTGACATGCTGACGGAGCCTGAGTTGCCATTCGGAATGCATAGAGTCGCGTTAATCCCGCTTAAACTGACACCGCCTATCACATGTCGAGCAGGCAGACGTTTAAATACCCTGTAAGCGCGCGAGGTATGGCAAGAGGGTAGATCGAAGAGTAAGGCAAGCTGCGTATATACATTAACAGCTATGCGAAGCAGAAGGAGATATTCTAAGAAGAATTCTTCATTAAGATTTGCCTCTAGTTAAAAGTATAATAAAGTTCTAAGAGAACTTAAATATCTTTATTATTAAATATAACATTTTTAGTTGTGTTAGCTCTTTCATACTATAGCTATAGCCTCTAAAGCCAAAGTTAGTTAAAAATAAAGGCTGGGTTACTGAGCAGATCAGACTCGAATACCAAAGATTATGATAAACAAGAATTAGCAGCAGATCAGGATAAGCAATCAGATTAAGGAACACAGAAACAGAGAGGGGTGTGAGCCTTACTAGTCAATCTCTTAGTCAATCGATTTCAAGCTTAAGTACAGGGCATCTCTTAGTCACACTTGCTATCTTAGCCAGCAGACAGTGCCATTGGTATATTGTATTTTTGGCAAACGCTACAAACAGAATTGAAAATTTATTTACAGCCATTTACGTTGACGCAGCATAAGCCATGTGTCAGTCAGTCAGTCAGTCGGGCGGTCCGTTTGTCCGTCTCTCAGTCCGTCTGCCTATCACGCAGGCCCGTTGGCTGCCTGGCGGGCCGTTGGCTCAGTCTGTGGTCATTTGCCGGCAGATCGCATGCTTAAGTTTCGCGGCATTTGAAGAGGGAGAGAGAGAAAAGAAAACGTGGCCAATAAACTGAGCAGCGGACTGCAACGGCTTAGAAGTTGACCGAGGCAGCACGTTGCGCACCTTTCAACCTGGCCAAAATGGCCAAATCAACGTAATAAAATCAAAAGGAGAAAATCTTCCAACAAGCCAAGCAACCTGCTGTGCGCCATTTGACAGGCCTCCAAACTTCATGATGATGACGACGATGATGATGAAGATGATAATGCTGAACTGTTGAAGCCTAGCTTAAAACCCTTTTTGCATGCATTTAGCTTAGAGTTTAGTGTGTGATCTTTACTAACTCTCTCTTCCTCTCTCTCTCTCTTTCTTTTCTTTTCTCTCTTTCAGGTCCGCTTGTACTTCTCGCAAATACCCGACGACAAAGTGCCATACGTCAACAGTCCCGGCGAGCAGTATCGTGTGCGACAATTGCTGCATCAACTGCCGCCGCATGATAACGAGGTGAGTCTATGCAGTATCTGTACAGCGCGCACCACTGCAACCCACTGTGTGTCCCTGGGGTGACTTTGGCTAGTGAAACTGTCAATTTCGTGGTATTTATTCAAATGTGTGCGCATTTTATCGTGATTGAATGGCCTCGTGTCCTCACAGCGACAGCTCGAATTACGACCGAAAAAGGCATCGAAGTCAATGCCAACTATTTTCCCACACATACCCACAGACCCTAAATTGTTGTTGTTGTTCTCGCTGTTGTTCCTGTGCCTTTTAATTAATCAAGGAAACAAGTGCAACTAACTGAACTGCACAGCCCTGGCGAACAAACCGCAAAACTACGACAAAAATAAACAAAAACAGAACGCTAAAAAAACTCAATCGGGGATATAAGAAACTTGAATACCTTACAAAAAATATTTATGATATAGACTGGCTTTAAAAGAATAAAAATTAAATACTCAAGTTGATATTAAAGGAGTCTAGCAGGCTAAGCAAAATAGGTTTAAGGAAAATCTATGAAGATTATTACTCGATTAGAATTTTAAATATATTTTCACAGATATATTTAGCTGTAGAACAGCGCAGCTGCATTTCAATCATACGAAGTATTCCCTTTAATGCCATGTCCAGTGCTGCGATAGTATAACTCTTTTTTTAGGGTATAGAACTTAGGTTGAGCGGATTCCCACAGCTGTATGTTGGGGCATATCAGTTACCATTTTAGCATTTTAGCATTTTAGCATTTACCACTTTTAACCACTGGCACTAACTGAGGGGTTGCCATGTTAACGAGTTGCCGACCAGGCTTTGGCGCTGGGTGTGCGTATCTACCTGTGTGTGTTTGGTTGTGCGTATGAGTCTGCGTGTGTGTATGTGGCAAATGCCCAAATTCCAAGCCGAAAGTCAAATCAAATTGTGCGCTGCTTCAACAAAAAAGAGGCAGCCCAAAAAAATTTGCATACAACACAAACGAGACGCTGACCACAAGAGTAAGGGCAGAAGGCAGAAGGCAGTAGCCTGCTGCAGCTGGACTAGATGCTAACCCAGTTGATGGGCAGCCTTGGCTACCGTTCGCTGTCTGCGGTTGTCTGCCCTGCCCACAGGCCACTCGACTTTGAGTTGGAGCTGTGGACGCAGACTCAAGCAGACAAACAATCTGCGCCCCGTAGCTGACTTCTTGGAAAGATCGCTTCAGCCTGCCCACCAACAACAACAGCAAGAACTACTTGAACATATGATTTGGCTGTCGCTCTCTCTCTCTCTCAGTCTGTCTGTCTGTCTGTGTGTCTTAAGAAACGGTTCTTCTGTCATTGCAGGTTCGTTACTGTCACTCACTGACGGATGAGGAGCGCAAGGAGCTGCGTCTGTTTTCCACACAGCGCAAACGTGATGCACTTGGACGCGGCAATGTGCGACAGCTGATGAGCGCACGTCCATGCGATGGCGTAAGTATCTAGTAACTAGTTGCCCCACCTCCCAATGCCAAACTTTCATTACAATTGCAATTGCTTTTGGCAGTGCGACGAGCTGATTTCCACTGGCGACATTGCGGTCTTTGCCACGCGCCTTGGTCCCAATGCCAGCTGGCATCCGGGCTGTTTTACGTGCTGCATTTGCCGCGAGCTGCTCGTGGATCTCATCTATTTTCATCGCGATGGTCGCATGTATTGTGGCCGCCACCACGCCGAGACGCTCAAGCCGCGCTGCTCAGCCTGCGATGAGGTAAGTTTGCCCGCTCCTTCTCCACAGACTCTTGTCCCCCTTGGGGGTGCGAAGCAAAACTTTTTGCTCAACAGCAACAAAACTTTTCACAGATTATCCTGGCGGATGAGTGCACTGAGGCCGAGGGACGCGCCTGGCATATGAATCATTTCGCCTGCCACGAGTGTGACAAGCAGCTGGGCGGCCAGCGATACATTATGCGGGAGGGCAAGCCGTACTGTCTGCTCTGCTTCGATGCGATGTTCGCCGAGTATTGCGACTACTGTGGCGAGGCGATTGGCGTCGATCAGGGCCAGATGAGCCACGATGGTCAGCACTGGCATGCCACCGACGAATGCTTCTCGTGCAACACCTGTCGCTGCTCGCTGCTGGGTCGCGCGTTTCTACCGCGCCGTGGCGCCATCTATTGCTCGATTGCCTGCAGCAAGGGTGAGCCGCCGACGCCTTCGGATAGCTCCGGCACTGGCATGTATACAACGCCCACGCCGCCGGCGCAACGCATTCGACCACAACAGACGCGCATACCGAGCAGCCACGCCTCCAGCTCACCGCCCATGTCGCCGCAGCAGCAGCAACAGCATCAGGCAAGCTTCAACCAGGCCATGTACCAGCTGCAGAGCCAGCAGCTTGCTGCCGGCGTGAGTATTAATGAGATGCCCAAGCAAAGTTATGCCACCTCTGATTCGGATGCGGGCGTCGTCAAGGACCTGGAGCAGGTCCATCGGGACTTTACGGACTTCTCTAGCTCGCAGAATATGTCGCCAGGCGACTTCCAGCCGAATCTGATGCCCAAGCCCATGGAGCTGCAGCGCGATGGTGTCTACAACTTCAACGAGATGGCCACCAATTTGGATGCTGCATGGCCCGCTAAGCCGCCGCTAGGCGCCACGCACAGCTATCAGCTGCAGCGGCAGCTGCAACAGGTCACCAAAATGGACAACTCCATCACCTCCAGCATGCCAGAGCTGGGCGTGGCTGGAGCTCAGCATATGATGCAACACTTTGCGCAGCAACTGCCGGCACCGCCGTTGCACGCCTCCGCTCAGCAGTTCCACGCATCGCAGCATGAATATGCAGACATAATGCACCCGCCACCAGTTGGTGAGCTGCCCGAGCTGCCGACCCCGAATCTGAGTGTGGCGTCTACTGCGCTGCCGCCGGAGCTGATGGGCTCGCCCACACACTCTGCGGGCGATCGATCACTGCAGACGCCAATGTCCACGCAGTCGGCTACGCAACCGCCGACGCATCCCGTATCGATTTTAAGCGGCGCCAGCTCTTCTTCACCCATGAGCGGCGAGCCTGGCAAAAAGAAGGGCGTGCGCTTCGAGGGCATACCGGATACTCTACCGCGCTCCCGCAGCTACTCTGGCAATGGAGCCGGCACTAGCGGAACTGGAGAACGGGACAGGGATAGAGACAGAGACAGGGATAGGGAGCGGGACAGGGATCGCGATGGCAATCGACATGGGCATGCCCATGGACATGGACACGGTTCGCGGCGTCGTCGACGTCGCAAATCCTCGAGCCATCATCGCAGCGGCAGCGGCCATCGTTCGCATTCGACCACGCGCGCTGACACCTATGCGCCGGCCCAGCCGCTGTCCTCCTCCTATCAGGGTCCGCCCTCGGTGTTGCAGGTGGCCGAGCACGAAGCACCGCACAAATCACCGCGCCAGCAACGCGAACGGGAGCGAGAGCGCGAACGAGACAGGGAAGAATCCGAGGAATCGGATGTGTGCTCCACCTGTTCGTCCAGTTCGTCCAGCTCCGAGGACTACATGATGATGTATCAACTGCCACAAAGGCGACACTATGGCGGCGTACGCGTCAGCTATGTGCCTAACGATGCGCTGGCCTATGATCGAAAGCGTAAGCCCGCCGAGCTGGCTGGCGACAAGGACAAAAACTGCATCATCTCGTGATCCAAGCCGGAGGGCATTTTAATTAGCGCTGATTGCGCGCGCGTCCTGCCTCTTAATAAATGAGGCGCCGCAAGCGCGAATTGCTAACGAAGCAACAGAAGCGGCAGCAACAGCAGCAGCCACCAGGTGGTCATCAATTTACTCACACACATAAACATATTTGGAGTCTACAGACAGAGAGCAGAGAGAACTCATATCCCGCACTTTTACAAAGCAATAAAGTTCAACTTGAGATTTAAGGCGCCTAGATATTAAAGCATTCGAAACTACAAAAACAAATTACAAATGAAATATGAAAATACGTTAAGGAAGCCCTTAAAGCGAGGGCTCTTCAATACTGTTCCAAATATAGTACATTCTACTTAAGCGAATCAAACTAGCCTAGGTATACTCTAGATATATCAGCTATTTTTTATAACAGAAACACAAACACACACACACACACACAAATGGTATAACTAGCTATAAGACAACAGAGTACTATGAAAATAACCTAGACACATAATAAGGTATATATATAATAACTATATATGCATATATTTATATAATCTACTATATATATTTAACAAATTTATATTTATTGAAAATTTAAGTAACTATTTACACACCAGATAAGTCTATCTGATTTGGCTAAAGCAAAAACTACAATAATTTTAGATTAAGAGCTAATTTTTAATAAAGAGTTCAAAGCAAAAACAACAACAAAAATATGAAAATATCAAATTTTGTTATATGCAATTATAACAAATGGTTAAGTGAACTAGCTTAAGTTATTATCCCTAAAATCATACTGCCATAGTATGATGCCCTGCCTATCAAATTTTTCTTGAATTTTCACTTTTGCTTACAGCAATTCCCTTTGAAATTGATTTTTGTACAAATATTTATATACCCTTGCTTCCAGCTTGTTGCCAATTATTTGTGCCAACAGCACGGCAGCTAAAGGTAAGCTTAAACCAGCTTAAGAAGCGGGCTGCAACGGGGGATGTTCTCAGCTGCGCTAGTCAAATATTGAGTTAACGCGAATAACATTTGAGCTCAAGTATAAACATAGAGAGGGAGAGACTAGATACGAGCTGCGAGCTACGAGATGCCAACCAAGTTGAAGAACTGGCAATTGGAGAGTGTTGCGATACACACAGTCAAGTTATCTATAATTATGCATCAGATAATGAATATAAATTAGGCGCATGTCGAGCAAAAAAAAAATAAAAAAAAACTACCAGAGCCAGCAGCTACATGGAAATTAAAATCGAAAATAAAACGATGCCAGTTTTGTGCCTCTACTAATAACTTGCCCGCAAATTATGGCAGGTCCGGCCAGCGGCGAGGAGGCGAAGAGCGAAGCTGGGCCTGGTACAGCAATCACATGCAGGCATGCAACTGCAGCCGCTTTGCTGCAGGGCGTAATTAGCCAATAAAGCAAGCCACTGCATGTCAAGTGAGTCAGGCCAGGAGGAAGAGAGTGGAAGAGGCGTGGCTGGTGGCGGTGGTGCTGCTGCCTGTTTGCGGGCACTTGAGCTGACCATCATTAGAGCAATGTTTGCATACATGTCAATGAGCGCACAGTCGCCCTGTGCGAGAGAGTCCTTGGCACAACTAGTGTCAGCCAGTTTGTCGCCAGAAGAGCTCTGGCTAATGGGCGCTTAATAATACATGCCACATGCCATTCACTCAGAGTGGGGGGTGAGAGCATTAAATGAGCATCGATTGCCGTTTGCGGCACCTGCATGAGGCGAAACGCGATGCGTTCGAGCGATAAGCGCAAAATTGTCTGCGTCTGGCATTGATAAGCCAAATGACTTGGCGTTAACGCACACAAAGGCGCACTCAAATGTCTGGTCAAGTGCGTCGCACTAACCGGGGAGTCGAAGTGGCTCACTGGCTGAGTGCCTGAGTGGTTGGGTGGCTTGTTGTTGTCGTCTGGCCAGCAGCTGCGGGTCTGATCCCCCGCTCCTTCTCTCAAAGAGAGTGCACAACTTTTGCAATTGTAATTTTGTAAAAGTTTCTCTGGCCAGATAGATTTCTGTTGTTAGATGCCATTTTGCGTTTATAATCCACAACGGTTGACAGCTGCACCACTCCAAGCTGCCCAAGCCACCCACTCGTTCGACTGGCAATGCGTGCGCCTTTGTGTTTTATTGCATGTCATTTCCGTTTCCTCTACCCGAGCTGCATACTTCTGATGATTGGTCTGCTACTCCCTGTCTGCTGTCTGCCTGGCATCCTGGCTGCAATGCTAGCCATTACGTTTATCCTGACACAAACACACACGCACACACACACATATATATACAGTTGTACATCAGATATGGCAAAATTTATATTCGCATTTCCGACGCTCATTTTTATCAAGCCCGAATAACCAAACCAAAACCAAAACCGCACACACTCTCTCTCTCTCTCTCTCTCTCTCTCTCTTACTCTCTCGTATAAATTGTAAACGTGCAGCTGCAGTTATTATGTGTGTGCTATACAAACAAACAATCCCTCACACACACACTGCTTGTATATTCCATAAGGAATGTCACACACACACAGCATCCGCAACTCGAACTCGAACTGTTCACTTTTTTATTGCGACTGGCTGCAGGACATTTGGCAGCGCTTTTAGTCAACGATTGTTGCTCGTATTTGCCATGCGCTTTTCACCTTCTCTTTTATTGCGAAATTACATTCAAGTTTATTTTCAATGCATTTCGAGTGCACTTTCCGATACTCAATACCAAATGATGATTAATTCAGTTGTCCCTTTAAATCTCGGAAGCCAGAACTTCTAGCATTTCAATCTTAATGCCAAAGGAAAAATAAAACTCCTTTTAATTAATTATTTTAATTTATTATTTTTTTTTATTACTGAAATATTATAATTTCTATTTTCTCATTATTGTTTCTTGCAGATGGACAACATTTGTGCTTGTAATCCTGATGAACTCTTCAGAAATTGCCAAAGATATCGCCGAACCATATATATAGGGATAAATTCTCAACTATATACTGAAGCATTCCGAAAGAACAGGATTGGCTGAACTCGAAATATCGATCCACATTAAAATGTTTTTTAAATTCCAGTTATTTAAGCTGAAATAAACAAAACTATTTAAAAAATTAACGTTTGTCTTATTTTGCCGGGTTGCCCCTGTTGGGTGTGCAATGGAATTTTTGAATCGAAGTTATTATCTAGCTGCTGCCAGTTCTGTTTGCCTGTTACTTTATTCGAATTTGCATTTAAATACAACCGTCGGCCAGCCACAATTGCCACGTGCATGCAATGAAACTGTGCAGCCGCTGACTTTTGGCTGCCTGCTGCGATTGCTGTGCACCTGCTACTTCAGCCGAAAATTTGAAAGTTTCAATTGCCAACTGTCGACAGTGGTTGCCCCTGATTGGTATGCAACGAAATTGCAATTTCAATCAATTTTAGCTGCCTGTTGCTACTTTTCTTTAACCCAAGGCTGACCCTCGTCTGGCTTGCAGCAGATGTTTTTGCTTATGCATTCGAGGATGCCTCCAAAAATTTCAGCTCATATTTTTACAAGGGGTATGGACAAAATCTGAACAAGTGCCTAAACTTTCAGTCCTGAATTCCTTGATAAAATAATTTTTTGACGTGGATCGATGAAGTAGGGTCCAAAGATTCTAATGCAGCAGGTTTCGTCATCCTGCGCCACTATATGGCCGATATATGGCCAAGAAACCATTCAGGCTTAACACTGCAAAAGCAAAAATCTTTAGCCTATCCGATAGGGGCAGCGTTGGCCAAGAGCTAAGAAGAAGAGGCGACAAAAATCAATTTTCGTTGCATATCCAAAAATCGGTAGAAATCCAAATTTCATTGTATACCCATCAGGGGCAGCCACTGGCGGCGGTTGGTGCGCGAAATTTGAGCGAAAATTCGGCCGAAGTACCAGGCGAACAGAAAGTCAGAAAAGCAAATTTTAGTGAAGCAAAAAGTTTCGTTGCATAAGCGCAAGGGCAATCAGAGCAGTTAAATTCAAATTTGAAATTGAAATGCAACGTGCAACGGCCAAACGGAAGCGAACGTTAAATTTGAATTTGAAATGCGCCGATTTTGAGCTTATTTAAGCAATTGTGAGCAGCAGAAGCTGGCTGGGTTAGCGGCAATCACTGTTGCAGCTGCTGCTGCATCTTCTCTTCGCTGTTGGGGCACGTGTTGCACGTGCACCGTAGCTGCCACGGCAAGTGGCACGTTAGATATTTTATTTACCCAAAATGAAATAATTTTCTATGGAAATCTCAATTTATTTGCGCGACAGCTGGAATTCTTTTAATGTCAAATGAAAGTTTGGCTTATTGTAAGCTTAAGGAAATACATTTTGTTGGGATATTTAAGGATGTGACTGAGCTATAGCTCTGCAAAAAAATGTCCTTTTTATAGGAAAAACAGCTACAACTCAACCAAAATCAAGTCGATTTTGAAAAAAAAAATGCGTTGTTATTTAATATAATGATGGGTATATGCTCCATATATTTTAAAACATGGGAAAAAAATAGTGCCTTTGTAGAGACTATGATGCTGAGGATCAGCTCTCACTCTGTCAATCCTACACAGCTTCCTACTACTCCCTCCCCTTCACTACATAAATCCCTAATATAGTTTTTCCCATTCACAACTTTCAGTGTAGTTATTTAGCAGCCAGTTCGGGCAGCCTGCATTATATTATGATCCACTTAGTTCCGCTCACTTAGCCGTGCTTAATCACAATTCATATGCAAATATTTACAAAATACCAAACAAATTTATGATGTCTGCTGCAAATTGATGAAATAACTAAAGTCCATATTGCACAATTGCATGGCGCAAATGTTATTAACGCGAATCCTTTTGCAGGCTCTATATATACATCATATAACTTCCATAGTCTACCATATATTTATGCTATGCTCTGTGTATTTACTCAAACCCTTGCTGCGTGCTAATGGCGTTGCCTGCAGCAATTGTTTACTGGCCCATTAATTAATACAAATATAAATTGCCAATATGGAGTGCGTGCTGTTTCCACAACAGCAACAGCAACAGCAGCAACAACAACAACAAAGCACATGAATCAAGTGCAGACTCGTTGGCCTTTATAAGAGCAGGAGAAGGGAGGCTTCTGCTGTAAAAACAGCCCAAAACATCAAGCGCATAAATAACCACGAAATGGCCAAGCAAAAATATTTACACCTACCCACAGACCCTGCTACGCTGCCTCCTCTGTGTGCCACGCCCACTGGGTGGCCGGACGTTTAATTAATTTTTAGCGTGTTTCGCCGACGTCGTCGACGGCTGCAAATAGAAAAAAAATAATATATAGAAACAGGCAACAATTATTAATATTTGGCCAGGCCTGACCGCAAAGCCCACACCCACACCACACACATACATATAGAAAAGGATATATCATCATAACTAATAATAATAATCATGTGCAGCGCACGTGTTTAGGCGTCTGGTCAGACAGGGACAGCGGGCGCAGCCAAGTTTTGTTGCCTTGAGATAGCGCGCCACGAAATTAA